CGACTAGCGTGAGAGGGCACCAACAACCTTTCGTTCAGTGCATGATGTAAATACTACACGTCCGGCTACATACACGGACAGAGAAATTAAGTCACAGTCTATACTGATGATCGAAAACAGTAAAGTACGAAATATTAAAGCATCATGCATCATATCTAATCCTCCCCCTCCGAAACAAAAAATTACATTATTTGCTGTTTCATAGGTTTAAGTTGAACCGAAATGAACCCTTAGCCTAAACGCTCGAAGTTACGCATCCAAAAAGCCATGCGAGTGAACGAACTGTTATTCTGTTAAAAGGGCTTTTGGCAATAAAAGTTTCCAGTGGTTCTGAGAAAGGTTTGAGCTACGTCTGTATTGTCTGAACGCATTTCCAACAGGGTTCACGATAACTGATTTTCTGTCTGCTTACCCCTAAATATTTCTGTGTCGTGGTAGCTAAGTGGACGATGTAGCACAATAAGGTGGTTAACTGGGCAGTAACTTCGTACAGACCCGCAGATAATGCACAAAAGCTAAGAAAGTTCGAGAAAGACTGTGCCGGCAGTTGACATGCCACAGTCGACTTAAATCTCGCATGAACGCATTTTCGAAAGTGGAACCCGGAAAACAACGCTATTTTTCTTGGAATGAGGATATCTGTAACTGGCGCTTTACCATCACTTTTGTTGAATCCGAGAGCGAAAGCCGAAATTCGAGATGGACGACCAATCTCGGGGGATGTCTCAAATCAACTTCGACTTTAAAGATTTTAACAGTCACGCATCTCATTCCTGAAGCATGTCTTCTCAGCGATGCGTCACTCTGCAATAACTGTGGCCGGCCAGCAACTGGCCGAAGAACATCAGACTAGATGGCTGCATGCCAGCTTAAGTCGGTCGAAAGATTCCATCTACGTAAAATCCATATGCAAATAGCATCGGCAGCGTTACCCAGTAAATAGACTTTCTGTGTGTGTTTACACAATGAAGACCAAAGACCAGGGACGCGAGTGCAAAGCGAAACGCAATATTACGTAGAAACAGCCGTATTACTGAATACAGTCAAACGACGGTTACCAGGTCAGAAAGGGGCTCAGGTTCGAGTCACTTATTCGCCGTGCTCAAAGTCATCAAATCTTCAGAGTAAGCATAGAAAAGCAACACCATTCTGACGACGCGACGCGACGCGGCGCGGCGCGGCGCGGATGCACGCATGCCAACGCGCGCGTTACGGCGCGACAACAGCGCTCAATGCATTAGACCGTTCAACGCGACGCGACGATGGTAGATGAAATCGCACTGACGGGAGCGGCAAAGAAGTGCGCTTACCTGGCAATCGGCGCAGGTGGTGACGGCTGAGAATCGATCGAAGCTACTCGGTTCGCAGTTCAGCTTTACAAGCACCGTTTCGTAGAACGTTCTGTAAATGGCTGCCACGTGATGCACGCGCTGCAACAAGCGCGAAAAGCAGTTGGTGCAATTGACAGAACGCGCCGCGGCAAGCAGACAGTCCCGCATGTCGTCCGACAGGTGCCTAAGCGCGTGCGGCGGCGGCGGCGGCGAGTCGGCGGCATGCGTCGCGCTCGGCGACGCTGAGAACAGCTGGCGCTCGGCATGCTCGTCCAGGTCCAACAACTGGTACAAAGGCATTTCGAGAAGCTCGTCGAAGCAATGGATGTTCAGGTGCACGAAA